CAAAAAAAAAAAAAAAAAAGAGACCCACACGTATATACAGAGACACAAACCTTTTCGATCTTGACTTTTCTCTGGGGAATTCCAATCCACACCACGAGGCTTTCGGCGAGATACAGCGCTGAAGGCCCGACTAGATACTTCCAAGTCTGCAACCCACATTGAATGCGAAAGTTAATTGATTGACCATGTTTCTTTTTTTTCCTTTTATTTTTTTTCTTTTAATTGTGAAAGCCTTTCACTGACTTCCATTTCACAGTAGTCCCCGCTCTGTCCTCCCCCACCGCCTTGACTGCAAAAAAAAAAGAAAGCAAAAAAGAAGAAGAAAAACAGTGTCTAACCTTTGACCAATGCTGCGTAACCGTCCTACCGTCTTCACCCGAATAGAACGCCCGGTCATTATAGCCGAATGTGGTCCATCTTTCAGTCTAAATTCAGCTATAATGACCGTACGTTGTATCCCGGGGAGGACGGTAGCCCAACCTCCCTTTTATCCTGTCAGTGAGATGAAATTCTTTGATGGCCGTCTTTCCAAAAAACAAAGAGGAATGAACTTCTGACGTTTTTGGTATAATATTATTTGGAATAGTCATTCTCAGCTTGAAATCTCACCTTGAAACAGATTGCCCTTTAAGTTAATTGATAGGCCGCCATTACACGGCCGCAACCGTGCCGATAATTGCGAGTTGCCAACCCCAAAATTTGCGCTGCTAGGGGAGGCTGCTCTTGTCAACCGCCCTGATAGCAAACTCTCGGCTTACAAAAAAAAAAAAAAAAAAAAAAAAAAAAAAAAAAAAAAAAAAAGATCGCCAGCTCGGGGCTACCGGAGCACAATCATGGCTGTGGGCACCAGCCAAAAAAACAAAATGTGCGCCCCTGGCAGCTTGGAGAAGCTTGGTGCGCAGTGTGAAGCCTGCAGACCCAGGTCAGGTGTACTGGTGCTGAGACTCCATGAGTCTCAGAGTAATCTCTCTCCCCCCACTTCTCTCTCTCTCTCTCTCTCTCTAATTTTAGGAAAGCCGACTTCTCTCTCTCTCTCTCTAATTTTAGGAAAGCCGAGTACCGCTGTCATGTTCTGCTCAGTGGGGAAGTCTCTCTCTCTCTCTCTCTCTCTCTCTCTCTCTCCCCCCTTGAAATCATTTACCCCTGTCTGCCCACACCGGACTGGGTAGTGTCAAGGTCACAATTGGAACAGAAAGGTATCATACTCTCGAGTCTCAACGATCTGTTCCTATGGGGGCTCTTCCTCCCAACAGAAGATAGCAGACCTAGTAGAGCATTGTTTGCTTTATTGCCAAATGGCCCAACAGATTTGGCAGTGGTAGAGCGCAGCCTGGCACTGCGTCGCCACTGAGGAGCTCCGGTGGGATCCGGCACTGCTCCTTCTAGGACTAGCGAAGAAGATGCCGACAACGTGGTGACCGTCACCATTCCACCTCAACCTCTTCAAATACACTAGGTTGGGGGTGCTCATGACAAACTGGCACGCCCGGTGTTCTGACGAAAGGAAATAACACACCTATGGCTACCTCCAGGCAAGACAGCACATATTAGATACAATAACACATAACAATGTCATCCAAAAGGCCTGGCTGCAACTAAAGGAGTCCTTGGCGATGATAACTGACCGGGCACAAAGGGACAAGCAGCTCACCACCTTCCAACACACATGGTTAGATCCAGGTACTAGGCAGATTGCGGAGGTAGATGACACGCTACACCTACAATGGAAACCCTGGTGGCAGGATACTCACACTGTCAGGTGGAAATGGCAACCGCTATCTGCCTTTCGCCGACCGATGGAGGGAGCTCCCATGATGGTGCTTCCCCCCGGGCACCCACTGCCCTCGGGCACAACCAACTAATGGACAGAATCTGCCTCCACACACAATTCCCGCCCGACGCAGGGGACATGAAATCCCAACCCGAGCACATACCGCTTGCACAAGCTGACCCTCCACT